TACTAGGCATGAGAAGTGCCTTGTGAAATATTTTTAGCCCCAATTCACCAAGAAAAATGTTAAGGATTGGTCCAGGATGATTGCTCTATGCAAAATGTACTTTTATTTGGGACTTTTCAAGTTATACCCAGTGTAAATTTATTTGCTATCATGCTATACTTTAGGCATTGTTTAAAAGACATCCTGAGTCTCCATGGATCAATTCAAAAGGATGGTAGCATTTTTTCTTCTTGCAGAAAAGAAGGACCAATGTTGTAGATACTTGTTTACTTCCAGAAAAACTCTGGAAATTAGCTTCTATGGACATCATGTAATGTTCATTTTAATATTTCTACCAACCTTTGTATTATACACACTACAAACATTGATGGGGAGTCATTTTACCTCATTCCAACAAATATATTGAGTGAAAAATACATAAAATGGAGAACAGGTTCAAATTTACCTTTTAGAGGAGGATATAAAATTTTCTAGCCCAGAGACTTTATGAAGCTTATAACAATAGCAGGGAGATCCAGTGTTCAAAATATCTCTTCCTCAAGTTGTGAATTGCTTTCAGTAGGTTGCAGTCATTCAGAATTTCCCACTCTGTTACATCCCATTTTTGGCACTTGTCACAGTCAATTCCCTGCCTTATCATGACTTTTCACTTGTTCATCCCCAGACTTGGTATGCACAATCTACACCTTTTTGGCTATGTTTCATACACCAGACTGTAGTTCTCAAAATGTTTGGTTCTTGCGTTACAGGACTAACTTTGTCCAAAAAATGATGGGACATTCTTTTTGCCCAGTCAGTGTACATATTTTGGGAGTGTATATATTCAAATGCTGAATCAAGATATATTGATCAACAATATCCTGAATCAAGATACATTGGATGACTTTCCATAAGCTTTTATACAAGGAAATAGATTATTTCTTGATATCTTGGCTCTGTTGCCATGTTGCTGAGGCCAAATGGAGACGAAAAATATTCTTTGTGCCTGTTTTCACATCTCAATAAACCTTAATCTGTTCATAGGTCAGACCCCTCTTCATAGATTAAACTTGCTGGAATAAAATGGTCCCAAGCCAATGTTGGCCTCATCCTCCCCTCATTGGCTGAATCAACCTTTTGTTGTATAGTACATGATAGCCTGTCTGCATCAGACACTGTAAACATTGTAATTAACTGCAGGGCACCATGCAGCACAAAATATTGGGAACAGAATGATAAATAGCTTGCGGAATGTCAGCTTGAATAGATTAAACAACTAAACTGAGATTCAATCTCCGATGCGCCACCAAAATATGATATGTAGGATTGAAAACTTTACAGAAAGTCATCCATTATTTTCTAACTATATTGTGCATTTTCCCACTATATTCTCAACCAAGATATATTTTTAAAGTATATCCTGAACCAGGAGATATCTTTTAACTATATCTTGTACCAGGATATATTTACGCCTTTGTTTTCCGTTTCTGGAGTATGTAGGGAAATTTCAACTTTTCCGACGTTGCTGTCGCTGCGCAAAATAAATATTCCGGCATGTAGTTTTGGCCCAGAAAACCACACTTTACTCCAATATCATCCGTTGAGTCAATTGAGTTGAATGGGTGATGGATATCCCTACATACCCAACTTGCCCACATTTACCCAAGTGGACAAATCATATCCCAAATACCCATTTACATGAGAAAAGTTACAATTCCCTCATTTCATACTGCCAAATATCTCATGTTGTCCCGGAGAAAATGGGTAATGTATATATGTTACAAATGCATTGATAGCGGCAAAAGAAACATCAGAAAATCTCCACAAAAGCTGCCTCTTTTCCCACCACAACAATGAACTTCCTGCCCAATGCGATGTATGGAATGGCAATGACACCTGGTCATAGTGGGATTGCATCAGCACAGTCAAATGGACAAGTTAGTCCCTTACAATTCAATTTTCCGCCTCAAACCCCGAGTAGCGACGTGGCAATGGCAAATGTTAACGCATATGAGAACCTGAGCATCGGCCAGAAGAGGCCTCATGTGGATGTCGATCCTGGTCCTCAGGAGATGTGGCAGCCATGTTGTGTTCCCCTTGTCAGTGTAGATGGTTCTGGGGTGACCGACTTGAGTGACCTCCTCGCCGTTGTGTTCAGGAGGATGAAGAAAGCCGAAGCTGAATTGGCAGATCAAAGTGGGGTATATCAGCAGGTCTTGGCCCAAATTGATGTTCTTGAAAAGCAGATTGGAGAATTAGAGGCTTCAAAAGACTCTGAACCAAGTGGTGAACCTACCAAGAAACAAAAAGAACCTCAGGACAGAGGGATTAGGGTGTGTTCTTCTCATGGTTTTGGTGTACCCATCCTTACAATGTCACCTTGGGAATAGAATGCCGTGCAATCTGTAATGAAGGGCTTGATTGGGGCCACAGAAATATGAGTGGATTCGAAAAAATGCCTACCTCTACCCACTCCTTTAGAACCGGGTGATCAGCCATGCGTTAGTGCAAATGGAGACCGTTTGTTCAACCCAAATTGGTTGGTGCCATCACCCCTAAAAGATGAGTATAACAGTATCTTTATTGATGCTGTTGTGTCTACAGTGGTTGCAAATGAATTGGTGAGTAGATTGTTCATGCGCCTTGACAAGACATTCAACTCACGCAAACAAGGGCCGAGGTGCTCATAGTGAGATTTCTCCACAAGGGGTTGGTGTTCTGGTGGTGCAGGATTACATGTCATCAGAAGATGAAAATTCCGGCAAAATTGAACCATCAATTTGGCAGGAGAAGGCAGATCGTTATGTCCGACCAGGCCAAACCGCTGTTGAAGTTCGTCGGGTTAGTTGGAGGAGTCCTCAGGTAAAATAAATGCATTTGGATCTCACTAATTACTAATACTGAGGCCACTTTGCTTCCAGGTTAATCAGATCTACTATGCATTGGACAAGATCAGCTACGAAAACAAAGCAAAATCAGTACACACATGCTTTCATGGATTCAAAGAAAATGCGAATAATGACAAGCCTAAGAAATCGGTACCATCAGTGATGATCGATGTGGATTGGAAACGACGGACTGGTAACAAGAAAATGGTTACTCAGAATATGCAACTTCATTTTGATCTTGACACCCTTGTCATTCAGGACAGTGAGCTAGATGCTGAAGATATTGCAGCATTGGAGGAGTGGGAGGCTGATGATGAAGCTGCAGATAACCAGGCAGAGGAAGCGGAAACAGGAGCATAGATCTACAGTATGTAAGATACAGAAGAGGCCCTAATCCTGAACAAATAATTGTTATTGGATATTGATCTTGGAGTGGAGGCAGGACTGACCCGAACTCTAATTGTGGCTGTAGCTGGACAGTCATTTATCTCAATGCTGTAGCAGGCTACATGGCCTTTGATATATTGAAGAGGCAGTAGAGGCGGTGGCCCTGGTTCAGAATTCAGCAAAAAGTTGTTATCATGCCAGATCTGAACCCCAAGACATGCACTACATTGAGAGAATGAGTATAGATGTGGTCAGAGAAATGACAGAAAAAATACAATGAGTTCCAGATTGTGTTTCATAAATCCATGTTGAGAGGCTGAAACCAGCGGAAATGACCAATCATGAAGATGAACTGATCATCTTGGTTGAGGTAAATGAGGTCCATAAGTTCACCCACCCAACTGTCTCCACGCTCGGAAACGATGACCTCAACCAGGGAACTCTTCTTGTTTGCTGCTCGGTTAGAGGCATAATAACGGCGCTGGTTTACGATAGCATAATCAAAGAACGATGCTTTGTTCAGTAGTGGTATTGATGGTGCCGGGGCTGGAGTAAGGTACAACCGCAGATGAAGATTTGGAAACCACATTGAAAGGTACCTGAGAACAAGTGAGTAAAGATCAGGATTCAAAATCGAGGACTGAGTGAATACGTGATCCCCTCTAAAAATGTTTCATGAGCTACCAGCCATGGCATCCCATGCTAATGTACCATCAAGACGAGCTTGATCAAGGTCATGTGCAAGTGCCTGCAAGGTACCACGATCATCTGTGGTTGCAGTAAACATGACATCAACAGCGTTGCGAAAAATCTGAGGCTGGCCAGGTCTCGCGCAGTGAGCTACCTATGACAAATCTTATCAAACTGAAAATATGCGAGAAGAGATTGGAAAAACCATTCAAGAAGTGAGTATTGTTCTATGAAATTCTCGAAAGAATGTAACTTCGAGTTCACCCCCACTGTGATTGTTTGTTTTGTAGCTCTTGAGAATCTTGTTGAGCCGCTCGAAGAGGAAGGTCCAAAACCCATGCATGGGACCAAAATCACGAACACATTCTGCAGTATGCATGGCATAATGATGGTTGGGCCACATTACATCGGGGCCATAAAGCTACGATGAAGGAGGTGAGTAGAAGATAACTAACCAAAATTTTGGAACACTTACGGTGATTAGTTCCTGGCAGTAATCCTGTAGTAGGCTATCAGCCTCTTGTATTTGTTCCTCTGTTATCGCTCAGCCCATGAGAAGACGGAGTGCAAGGCACAGTTTCAGAAAGTTTGAAGGATTGTCAGGATGCAAACAAGAAGGCAAATCTTCATCATCATCATCTGACTCGACATTCACGTTGTTACCTACTGTTTGACGCTTCCGTTTGTTTTGTTTATCAACAGGCTGTCGGGATGGGTCAGGTCTTCGGTTTTGTTTGCGTTGCACCATTTCCTGGTGATTCTTCTTTTTCTCAGCATTGGCTTGCTTTTTCGCAGTAGCCTTTTGCTTCTTCAGCTCAGCAGCACGGTTCTTCTTGTCGATTCGAGCCTTATTGGATGCTGCCCATTGTTGGTGAGCAGCATCAGGCTCTTGCATGTAATCATGCCATATCTGAGGAATCTGGGACCCATTGAGGTAAGACCATGACAAGTGAGGTTGCTGACTCATGGCAATTGGGGCAATGATTGTAGCCATGAGGAGCCACTGGTCAGCAGTCAAAGATCCACCAGCGGGAATACCCATGAGTGATGGCAAACAACCGAGATGTGCCGGTATGCTAAACTGAATTAGAGGTGAGCCCAACGTGCAACAACCTATAGGAAAAACATACTTCACTAAGAATATGGTGGAGTGCACACAGCTCTTTCGTCTTGCGAAGAATTTTGGCTTGTACCCAGATGTGATAGAAGTGAGTCTTAACGAGGCCTGTAGGAAATATTAGCCTGAATGATGGAACATGTAAGGCATAAATATCTATACCGAGAAGAAGGTTATGCATTGGATCAATAATGATCATGCGGACAATGTCAAAATACAGCAACCGCACAAACTCGCACCAACGTGCTGCCCAAGCTTTTACAAATTCTTCGCGAGTGGTTTCCATCTGTAGGGCTGCATATTTCTCACCAGCTGCTCAATGCTCTTCATTGGTTCTTGCTCGAAAACCTATTGAACAATGTCATGATAAGCAAATTGTGTGTTCGAAGGTCTTGAGGACATACCATCTTTTACGAAAGCCTCAGGGGTTGCTTTATCCTTCTGTCGTATCCAACAGTGTGTACAAAAAAATGTATGTGAGTGTGCTCCAAAGCCTCCTAGCTTGTGTGCTGCAGGTTTATCACAGCAGATACATATCAAAATAAGTCGAATTAAGTGACCTTCAGGTGATGACAGTGTAACAATGCAGACACCATCTGTCCATAAGCGCAATACATCAGGAAAACTACACATCGACTTAGGCCGCTTAGGTAACTTTGACAAGTGCAGAAGTGGCGAAAGTGAACTCAAGTGACCAAATGACGGTCACTTGGCTATGTAGGTCCCTGTCTTACAAAGTGACTTGGTCTTGGGTAAGTGAGACTCAAGTGGGTAAGCTGTATTGCACAAAAGTGACCAAGTGACAAAGTAGTAGTCTCAAACTGTTCCGAATTGCACACAGGATAGTAAAAGTAGGGGGTAAAAGAGTATATTGAATGATACAAATGTCTATTTACAATGTACCAGCTCAAGGAACACGTAGAAAACCCCCTGTCTCACTCTTGTCCTCTTGAAACAAAGATCCTCGCACATTGAGGGGAGAAGCATTGGCACCTTGGGTGAGCAAAACGGATAGCTTTGGTTTCTCCATGAGCCTGATTGCGTGTCAATTTGTTGATAGACTTGATGTAGTCCATGGTGCTGACGCCCCAGTTGTCTTCTGAGAAATTCGCCTCTTCCTTACGATCCAGGATGCCGGCAGTTGAAACCCCTGTGACCTGGAACCTGAACGCGCGCTCAGCCTGCACAAAAATATGGTCATGCAGAAGGGAAGGGAAGAGGAGATGTACCCAACTGTTGAATAGGCATAGCGAAAACGGTGGTGGAATTCTCCATCTGGGTGCGAATGAGCTAAATTTGGGCACGACGAAGACCGCAGTAGGATTCTCCATATGTGCATGATGGAAGGTGGTGTAGATGTAAGCGAGGAGGTGGTACCTGGGTAGGGTAAAGTCGTGAGAAGGAGACGGGCAGGGAAGAAGGGAACAAACCATTATCGTCGCTACAGTTCAGGATCGTCTTGTAACATCCCTGCCCCTCACTAATCGCTGTAAGCACCTGTATAACCCTCAACCCCAACTTCCTTCCCTGCACGTTCTTATTCACCACAATATCCTCTATGTGACCTACCTTACCAAGGCCTCTGAGACACTTTTGCTCAATAAAGACACAGCCGACGGCAACGATCTGGTCGGTGGGTTTGTGGATTATGACGATGGTGAAGTACTTTGAGTAAGTGAAGGGAGAGCGGCGGTGCTTGTCAAAGGCCGCTGAGTATGCCTCCACACCTGGATTGGACACAATGGTGAGGACAGAGAGAACTGACAGGTGCAGCGAGCGCGTGTAGTCTGTCTTGGCTAGAGGACATATCTGTGTGAGGGTCAGTGTGTCGTGCAGGGCTTGCTGAGCAATGACGAATGTGCAGATCAGGCCCGAGCCGGGATTTGACATCAGCGGGAATGAGTTCTGGGTCAAAGAGGAGCTCAAGGTCAGCATTATGGTTTGTTTTCCACGTCGGCGAGCGAGCAGGCACAAACTGCACTGGGATTTGGTGAGGGCAGATTAGAGACCGTATCAGTTGCTAGTTATGATGAACGTTGAAGAGAAAAAGCGATGGTGAAAATTTCAACATCGTCACATGTCGTCGGACTTTGAATGGACTTATGAATAATTTCTAATGTGTTTGAGCACCCCGACGGCTTTTGGGCACTTATGACTTACTGAGGTGAATGACTTGGATCCCACTTGGACTCACTTTGAGTTTGAAAGGAGGTTGTGGCTGTAACTTGAAGTGCCGAAGTGATTGAAGTGATTTCAAAGTGATCTTTCAAGTGAGTAAGTTCAAGAAGTGATGTGTAGTTTTCCTGATGTAGCTCATTTACGATGATCCGCAAAAATCGCTGGCACTGATCCAGTGTCTGCTCCTTTGGCCCCAGCATAATGCCACTTAAAAGCAAATTAGACATGCGGTATCTGGTTTGTGCTCAAAGTCAGCATAGCTCATAGGGCAGAAAATCATGTACTTCAAGTGAGGTTTCAGATTGGCGATGCTAAAAGAAAGTGGCCCCAATGTGTGACTAGGCAATATTTGGCTATGTAGATAAGAGAACCTATGAAATTCTGAGAAAGACAAATGGATGGTGAAGTGACCGACATACCAATCCACCCTGAGGCTCACTCCAATGCAAAGTTCACCTTTTGGGCCCTTCTCATCACCTGGCTGATTTCGGAAAAAAGGGCTGCCATCAGGTGCTGGTAAGGTTTTGGTTACTTCGCCATCAAAGATGTCTCCCATTCTTCCAGGGGTACGGGGAAGTACACGCAATGCATCTAACTCTTCCTCGAGACCTGGAACAGAAAGGAGACTAACTAATTGTGATTCTAAACTCTTGAATGGGAAGCGAAGAAGGGGAACACAAGGCCATGTCTGAGTTCAAGTGTTTGGCAATGTGGGTTTGAACAAAAATGCATTGCACTCGCTGCAATACGGGGAAGCATTCACATAACTGCTAATGGGGTGAACCTCGAGGCACTCTGGGCACAGAGGAAGGATGTCAAAGACAGGCTCAACATCCAACTTCGACATGATGTGATTGAGGGTGGTGATCAGAGGTGGGTTGATGGTGTGGCCAAAGGCCTGGATGATAAGAGTGACAACATGAACGATCACCGTGCATGCACAGACTGGGACATGAAACTGGAGGTGGAGCCATGTCACGAGCATGTAAAGCATAAACACCACCTTCTAGGTGAACGTCTGATGGTGTATGAGATAGCTGAGCGTGAGCATCCTCCGGCGCATGGAAGAACGGATCCCGGTTGTTCTCTGCAGCTTTCACTGTAGGTACATGGGTGGCAATCGGGATTGAAGGTAAGAGTTCAGCAGCTGGGAAGGACGCTTGCGGAATATATGGGGTGTAGGGGTCGGGGTTGGTGTCAGCCTCAGGTTCAGCTTCCTCCCAATTGTCATCAATGAAGGGCTCATAGGCATGCTCTGGTTCCTCCACTAATGCCTCAGAAATCAAAATGGCAGTGCGTTCCTTGACTGCATGGATTGCAGCACTCCTCCAAGCACTCAATGGAGTGCCAGGGGGTTGGGCTGTCAGGTGTGGACTTAAACGATTGTGAGTGGGTGTGGCTGGCAGATCCAAAAGTGTTTGAGGAGGTGTCAACACCTCATGAGTGTTTCCCATAGAGCTGTCAGCTATGGGAGGTGGTGGCACAGCCGATGAGGTGCTTGACATAAGAGCACCTAAGATTGCTGACATTGCAATCTTATCTCGCGCCAAATGGGCACACCGTTCTTCTTGCAAAACATGCTTAACGCCACCACATTGTGTGCATTCGCAAGGGACAGGACGCTGTTTGGGAGCCTACAGATTTCCATCACTGAGCTTTGCAGAAAATCAAAAGAAAAAAGACTTGCCAGCATAGAACTTGAGCAACCTAGTTGTTTGGAGGAGCAGATGAGCAGTCAGTGATGATAGAATAAACAGTAGATGACAAGGATAGCTTTCGTGTGAGCAGTCCTACCCTCCGAGTCCTAGTACTCACTGGCGTTGCTCACAGCCAGATAAGTAACGGTAAACGGCTGGGTGCCTCAGGCAGAACTGTGGAGGGTGGTGTAGAGCACAAATAAATATTCGATGCTTATGCATCGAGCTTGTCACACATGGTCACACAGCACTTATAAACAAAGTCCCCCAAAAGCCATATGAAATCCTGTGGTATTGACTGAGAAAGCAGAGCGCAATTTGTATAGTAATTTAGTAGATAGTACATATCAATCTACATTTGGCGACGTCGAGCAGTGCTAGTCCAGCTGGGTGACTGATTCAACAGCAATCGACGTTCCTGAGACTGCTCATAGGTCAATGCTGATGCTCGGGTCTTGTGTGAACGTAAATTGCGGGGGGAAGCAGACCAGCTTGATGTAAGCGAGGGCGACCTCCAGAGATGAGTATAGGATGGTCGCTAGTGCCAGGAACAAAGATTTAGAACAGACGACACCATGCAGACTACGACTCACCGACACAGCAAAGCACCAAGCAAGGACCCGCCGTGACAACCTTTCATTCTCAAGTTGAGCTGCAAATATCATGAGAAGCTCAATGATGTGTGTCTGTGGCTGCCTAAATGAACGAGGGTTGCTGACGAGGGTAACCCAGTCTGGCGCATTGAGTTCGTTGCCAGTGCCTGTGTAGGAAGCAAGAATGACAGTTGGGCTTGTCCAGTAATACACTAGAAAGCCTGAGGATGGATGCAGGTGCACAGTGAGGTACAGTGTGAACGTGTGCGGGTCTTGAAACAGCTCTTCAATTTCGCCCTATCAAGGAAGAAGTCAGGTAGTTTTAGAAAGACAAGTTACACACCCACCTCAACTTTGACTACCTTGACAGTGCAGGTGACGTAGTCCTGCACCAGAAAGTTGCCCGCGCAGAAACCATCACCCGCGAGCGGCTCAGATGCGAAGTCAAGTGAACAGGCGATCCAGTTGTCCAGTGGGGATGGCAGGCCGTAAGTGACTCGCCGATATTCAGCCTTCTGGGCAGGCGTGTGGCTGGTTCGTTGGCGAGGCTTTGCTGGCTCGTGGACCTGTGACGATAGTAAGTTACGGCGATGCTGGAAGATGCTAGTCAGTCTATCTGTCATGACTGCTATATGAAACTTACGTTGGACATTTGTGTTGAGGGTTGTCAAAACTAGTGCATACGCTAGTGTCCTTCACACACGGAGAGGATGTCAAAAACTTACTTTGACCAAAAGCCAGACAGTGGCTGGTTGGGGTGAAATCTGGCATAAACCTGGAGAGAAAAGATAAGATATTTGATGTGTCGATGTTGCGAGAGCAATGTTTTGTGACCTGTCAAACAGACAGATCCGAGGGGAAAGATGTCGTAGACATCATGGTGAAAGCTAAGAAACATGCGTGAGAAATGGATGGGAAACTCTGAAGGGGTTGACAATTTCTGAGAGCAAGAATTATGGGTGTTGTCGACGTTTCCGTTCTTTGTATGGGCGGGTAAATACAAGGAGAGATGAAAAAGTAGATATTTCATACATAAACCGGAAACGGATTACAGTGCTTTGCACTGCCGTTTGCACTCCGAGATTCCGAAAATGTGTTTGTGAGTGTTGTATCGTGACCGCCACAGATCGGGAAGTAACAGGCCCTGCACAATCACATGGCCTGCCAAACCATTCTTCATCGATGGCACGATGTGTGCATCAAGACTCAACACCTCCCTCTCCATCCACCATCCCTTCTCTGAGTATCGACTGTATCTTCCTCCATCTCACAGCGTCCACAATTCTGGTTCTCTGTGGACCAAGTCTGAGCCACTTCCAGCATGCACTGCGAGCTCAGGGCATTGTGGGGCCTGTTCCATTCAGTACGCCGTAATATTCTCAGTGCAGACATTTCGGTAGGCTATGATCCTTTCCTGTTTCAGAATGTTGAACTCAATGGACGTCATCGTGCAGGGGAATTGAACACGGAGCATACGAGCATTTCGACGACTTTTCGCACCCTCTGAAAGTATCCACTTTGAATTCTTTATAAAAGGCGAGCAGAGTTCTGAAAGATTTCCCAGTTTACAATATGTTGAACCATTCGCTCTCAGACCAAGTCCTCCAACCACCCTTCACTCAGCTTGCCAGCAACGAACCTCGCAATACTCAGGATGTTGATGCCAATACTGCCACCGGAGAAACGCAAAGGCCGTCAGCAGGCTGGCTCAGGAATCCTGCCTGGATTGGTACGTTCTTTGACATCTATGCTTCAATACGGTTCTCATCTCTTGACACAGATGGTGGTGTAAATCCGCCCAAGTATTATTTCTCTCATGAAGAGATTGATGCAGCCTGCCGCATGTCTGGAGTAGAACCACCTCCTCGATACACCCAGCCTGAGACTGTGGTCGTCCCATCTCAGCCGGTCAGTGGCGTTGATTTTGCGATGGGAAGAACCACTGGTACATGTCCTCTGAGTTCTCTATTTCATATCATACTAATAAATTTGACAGGAATCCCCCTCGCTATGCAGTATGATATCCTTTCCTCAAGGGTTTCACCAACACCAGTCCCTGCAAATAACCATTACCGCGCTGCTGGACCATTGGGAAACAGCATCGGTATGTGATATACATTAACTATCGCAATCTTTATCTCATTTCTATTTCAGACGTACCTCCACCTAATGGGCATCTCGTCAACATCACACATACATACACATCAACTGAATTGACTAGCTCCCGAAATGCGAAGCCTTCTGCTCCGAAGAAGAAGGCAACGACAATGCTGGGCAACATCACTCTTGAAGGCATTACACGTGTGGCCTTCATCAAGGCTATCCTCGCCGTTCACGACCTTCACACCCAGTTTGCCCCTGGTGTTCATTCCGGTCCTCCATTTAAGCTCTCATGGACTGGTTCTACGTGTGTGAATTTGTACTTACTATCAAACATATCCTGATCAAGTTTTGCAGTGGTGGGAAAGGCAACGCACCGACTTTCTTAACAGACGAAAGCTTCAGCCTTGCCCTCGCGGCCGTACTCAAGAAGGACAAGAAGAAAATCCAGGTTACTGTTGAGTTCGACACGGACATGATGTCCAGCTATCGTATTCAACACCAGGTTTGTTCGCGTCTACTGCATCCATTTTCTCATATTTACGTTGACATATAGGCCCCCTCTTTGAATGCAACTACAAACGATGGCGACGATGAGCTTCTCTATGGAACCAGGGTAAGTTTTATCCTTCCATGCTTTACATATTCAATGACTTCGGCACCTGTAGATCCCACAACTTGCCCAATTCAACAACGCTGAGCAGATCAATGGAAGATTTATCTTGGAGATCAAAAAACGGTGGCCGTGCGCTTCTCATCAAGGAGAGCATGGCGAGCCAGGCCATTGTTTCATCACAGCATCCGGAGGACATCTGCGACTCAACCCCCTCCATCTCAAGATGTGGGCTGCTGCCATGGTACGCTAAATCTTATAAAATACATTTTCAACCTGAATACCTTCTGTAGGCATCTGGAGACATCACAAAGCATGATCCGCCATGCACAGAGGCCTTTGATGGTCCGCGCAATGGTCAGATCTCTTCCATCCGAGCACGTGGCCGCTCAGGTGCAGGCACGATGTCGACGCTTCCTGCTCCAGCCAACAATGACATGATGACCCTTGTCATGGCGTCTCTCATTCCTGTCCTCGGTGGCTTATCCCGCAAACGATCACATTCTGAATCCCCCAGCCGATATTCGTCTCCGCTTTCCAAGGGTGCACGTTTTGAGTTCCACCAATTCGCAACCAGCCCAATTTCCAAACCCCAAAGCGCCCTCGCCGTGAATTCCAAACACCAAGGCGACCTGCATTCCAGCAACCTCCTGCCTCCCCCATCTCTATCCCAGCCCCTGGCTTTGAGTTGCGAGCATGCCTTTGGGAATTTGCTGAGCTTGAGGCTGTCGACATGACACCATTTGAGATTGCACTGCGTGCTGAGGACTTTACCCCTGACATTATAGCCTTGGCTGATGAGTCGGCAACCATAGTGATTCGCAATATTACAGGTGCTACATGTGGTCGTCTTATGAGATTGAAACTTTTCTGTAGGAAATGGCAGACTACCTACAAGCAGAAGCTTCTTTCGGGTAATTATACTACTTATGAGCTTGAGTAAATTTATAGGCCTGTCGTCTCATAGGCTCATTGTCTCGACTGTGCTCAAAGGGCCAAAATACTTGTAACACATATTTCACTATTAGTTTATCTCATCAGAAAACGAATAACCACAGTTTTCTATCCATCCAATTGCCATCTCGTCTGTTACTGCTAACCTGGCTTGATGAATTAACCAAGGCCGGCCCTCGGGTGCCACAGCTTGAGCTTCATGACTAGTGTTTGAAAGTCCGGTTAGGTTAGGTTATTGGGTGCCCAGGGGCTCTAACCGAGACCGAGACTGGTTAGGGTTCGTTCCCAGACCCAAAATAACCTAACTGGACCGAAGATAACCGATGAAAACCAGTTAGTTGCAGTTACTAACCGGTTAGGACCGAAAAAATAGAAAATCGATTAAAACGGCGTATATTTCTCATATTCCTTGCAGTAAACATTATTGCCATGCGTCGTAGCTTTAAAACAAGCCCAAGAACGCTAAATTCGGTGAAGAATTGACAATTTTATAATAATATTCTTGAAAGCCTACTATTTTAGCCAATAATTTAGAGATTTGACCATAACTCTGTCAGATTTTTAGTGTTTCTCATGCTTTTAGATGTGTTTTGAAGGGGTAAAATAGGGTCGGTTGTAACCGGTCATAACCGGTTTTTTAACGGTTAGTTAACCGCAAAATAACCGGTTATTTCATTTCCAGAATTGACTAACCACTAACCGCAGTCCGGTTTTTTCGCGGTTAGGTCCGGTCTGGTCTCGGTTATTTTCCAGTTAATTAACCTAACTTCCAAGCACTATTCATGACGTCGCAGCCAGGCTTTGATACTGTGAAAACCCTGTTCAATTGGGTTGTAGTCAGGGGAGTATGGCGGTAGATAGATAAGTTTTGCGCCTGTAATTAAATCAGGCATAGAAGGCAAATAAACGGATTAATAAACAAACCACATTCAACTTCAATAAGGTGCCGGATGTCCTCATCGTGGTGAATTGCACAATTATCCATAATAACCACGCTTCGGGGACCAGCGTATGGATTCAATTTTGGAGCCTACAACATAAATCAGTTACGAAGCTGGTGACAATTTAAAAATATGTCTTACAACTTGTTCATTTAGAAATGTGAGGAAGCGCTCTTTATTCACTGAACCCTCAAAAATATCAAGCGCAATCATACCCTCGCATGTAAGAGCTGGCAAGATTGAATACCGCTGACCACGGACAAAAGTAGCACGGCAAACACATGCTCTCCCCAGCGCGGCCCAACCCAGCATACGCTGGTTTGTCCGATCATCCACACTTGCTTCGTCCAACCAAACACAGTAATCAGCTGGAATATCCGCATATGCGGCCTGCCAAGTTGCACGTAGCAATTCATTCCTTTCTAATGCTTCGTTTGCTACATGCTTGCGTGTCATTGAAAGTCGGTGAAGTGTGCAGGAAAGTGTTGAAATAGAAGCAAAAACATCTCGCCTATCCAGAAGTTCATCTTGAATTTCATCTAGGTAGATCTTTGGCCGCGCGTCAATCAAAGACTCTATAAAGTTCATATCTCCCATGTTCAAAGAACGGTTGGCACCATGCGGGCCGCGTGTCGATGGTTCTCTGAGAGTGTTGTAGTCACGGTGGTAAGAGAGGATGTTGTAGACTGTCCGGACACTACATCCAACAAGGCCTGAGATTTCCTGTGCTGAGAGATGTTGCTCATCGTGCCAAATGATGATCCGCGCACGCATCTCATCGGAAACCTGAGGCACCATGAGAGTTGGGCGTGAGGGGTTCAAATTCCCAATGCGCTCAAATCTAGCCTTGATGCGTGACAATCTAGCAGGGTCTGTCACAGACACACAAAACCAAACATGATTTTTGCAATCTCGGAGTGCAAACGGCAGTGCAAAGCACTGTAAAGGTCCGAAACGCAGTGAATTCGAATTTTTGGAAAAGCTATCACGCAAGCTTCATATGTGAGCCTCAGCGAGCGCTATAGTACATTGAACATATGTACGGCTGGTTCTCAGAATCAACGTTAACGTTAACGTTGACGTTCTCCAAGGGTACTAGTTAGTTGAAGGCATGCCGTGCGCTCAGCTCTCAGAATTACGACATGTGTACATCGATGGTATTGCGATCACTGCAAAGCATCAGGCGGAATAAGGACAGTGTGTGTGTGTAGTATGTAAGTAATAGCAAGATCTTGGGGGGGGTAGGTAGGTGGGGGCGATACAGTATGGAAACAGCGTTCTAAGACGGGTTGATTCATCACAGTCGTGAGATTGGCGAGCTGGCCAAGTCGGGTCGGCGGCGGCGGTGATAAAAGTGGGAGATGCCTATGGGGAGGGAAGAGAAGGAGGAGAGAGATGATGGCGGATGAAAAAGTAGAGATGAAGGAGGGGCAGTGGACGGAAAAAAGTAGAGGTGACAGGAGGAGTGATGCCTTGGGGAGGGAAAGAGAAGGGGGAGGGGTGATGGGTGGAAATGTGTCAGGTGAGGTCAGGTGGTGGTGGACGAAAAAGTAGAGATGAAGGAGGTGTAGTGGACGGAAACGTAGAGGTGACTGAGAGTTGGGGAAATTTCAAGTGACCGAGAGAGCCAGGGTGGGCTCCGTCGAGGATGGGAATAGAGGGGGAAGACGATTCGTCTGAGAATGACAGACGAGATTGTTGACTGTTGACTGTTGACAGACAGGGAGAACGAGGTGTGTGTTCAAAACACAAACACCAGAGAGAGAGAGAGAGAGAGAGAGACAGACAGACAGAAAAGAGTTGAGAGTGGAAAGAAAAGAAATGGCTAGGAATACACTGCATGCATTGCGTGGGTGTCTTTGATTCTTGGTTGGTTTGGGGTGGTGTACGACGTGCGGATACGATACTGATACCTGCTATAGCTTTACTAGGTGGATTGACAGATGGATTGCTTGGAAGGAAGGACGGATGGAGGGAATAATAGGTTGTCCACCTTGATGTAGGGATGGGATTGAGGTTGGGCTTGATACTGGTACTGCGAAATACACAAGAACGGAACCTTGAGTTTGAGAGTCGAGACGACAGAGAGAGAGGGGGGGGGGGGGGGGAATGAAAGATTCAGGAGCGGTTGCTGGCTGCAAGATTGAAAGAGACGGGCGTGAAAGTAGAACGGAATAACTTGACGTAAACCATGAAAAAGGAGCGTGGGGGGACCTTGAAATGGTCTTGACCACTGATGAAGAGGCAGGATTATCGATAACAAAATTTTGGTTATTGGACCACGGACAGAATCAACCGCTTATCGGTAACAAAGTCTTGAGTATTGGACCACGGGGCATGAATCATTGCAACCGCGCCAAATACTCTTGCCAAAGCGTATCCACAAACGCCTTGTCAATCTACACCATACCCCAATCAGCCCTCTTTTTTCTCTTTCACAAAAAAACGAAAAGAAAGAAAAAAACGCACATGAATAAGCGTCAACACCTCCCTCACAAACTCATTCCTCTCCATCCCCATCCCAGTCGCTCCTCCGAGTCTCGGCTGCGCATGCGCATTCAAAGCAGCCACTATGCTCCCCCGGACCAAAGCATGTTCATGTCCATTTCCATTTTCTTCCCCGTTCTTTTCAACATGCCCATGCCCATTAACTGTACCCTTGCCAACCGACCCAGACCCATTCAAACTTGGCGCAACCTTCCTCCCCTTCCCGGTACCGGTACCAGCCCCATTAGTCTTGCCAGACATGGTAGGCGTCATCATGTCCGACAACGAGGGTATCCTCCTCGGTGAGGGTGTATGCGCAGGCCCCGAGGGAGTGTGTACCGGCCTTGGAGGCATATGAACACGCATTTGGGGCGTATGCACAGACCTTGGAGGCGGAGGCGTGTGCGCGGATGTTTGAGGCGTATACACAGGCATTTGCGGCGTATTATCCTCAAGAGAAGGCGAAAGAGGCGGCGAGGGAGAAGCAGGTGGCGAGGTAACAGCCTGCGTAAGATACCTCGTCGTCGTCGTCGTCGTTTTGACTTGCTGCTGCTGCTGCCTATCTTGCTGCACCCCCTGCACCCGCGGCGCACAAACCCCAGGAACATCCCAACTCTTCTCAATCTCCTCGAGGCTGCAACAACAACACCCCTATGCGTATGCAAGCTCTGCCCATCCTTCTGCGACCCCAAACCCCTCTTCTGCTCGCTAACAGCCCTCCTAAACGCATCCAAATCACTCAACACACTCGTTTCCTCAAAATCAAGCTCAACGATATCCTCCTCCTCCTCTCCCGAGTCTTCTTCCTCCTGGTGTTTGTGTGCTTGTTGTCCCCCCTATTGATGGGCTGGGTACGGCCACAGTTCCGAATCAGCTTCAAACGGCACCAGTTCCCTATTCTCCCTTGGCTTCGCGCTTTGGTCGTGCGGCGCAGAAGACGAATCCAACCCCTTAATAGTAGCAACCGACGAAGTAGCCTCGATCCCCAGCGGGTGATGCACATGCACATCCGCCCTATGAGTCTGAGCATGCCTCCGGCCATTCAAGAACGCACGGGGCGTAACGTCCCCATTTACCTTCCCATTTCCATTCCTCGCTCCACCATGCCCCAACACGCTTAGGAGCCCATTACCACGTCCACTAACAGGCGACCCCGCCTCATCATCTTCATTTTCATCCTCATTATCACTCTCCCTAGAACTAGGATGGCTGCTTGACGCAGCTGAGGGGGTACGTGAGGGCGGTAGGCCCAATAACGTGCTGATGACGTCTTGGTTGAGGACTTGCGCTTGGGTGGATGTGGATGTGGGTGTGGGTGAGGATATCTTTCGTGGTGCCCCTTGTTGTTGTGGTTGATGAGAAAGGGCGGATACGTTAGCGGCAGACGCGAATATGCGGTCCAACAAATTGATGCCCGTAGCTGGCGTTGACGCTGAGGGTGCTAAAGACGTATGAGGAGGGGCTGGACCGACGATTTCCGGCCCGCTCAGAGCGGCGAATAATGATTCTAAGGTCATGCTTGAGGTGGATGTTGGGAATGTCATGGTGGAGGTTGGTGCGGTGGGAGGAGGACCGGTAAGTACGAATTTTGCGAATAGTTTGTCGACTTCTGATACGGCTCCTGCTGAGGACTGTTCGCTGGCGTAGTCGGGATATGATCGTCTGATCCATGTGCGGAGATATCGTCTTCGGGGTAGATGTGTTGGATATAGTCTTCCATGCCCATGCGATTGAGGACGTAGAATCCGCATGGCGGGTAAACGTCCCTTTGAGTTTTCAAATTTCATCAGCCATCGCCAGGAAAGGAAGGGGCACCAGTGTGGTTGGGTAGGGTTTGTGGATTACGCTGAGGGTTAGGAGTGTATGTGAGCGGGAAGAGAGGAGGAGGGAGGCAAGGAACGTACCCGTTATCTCCTGTCTTTGAACACAACGCTTGAATTTCCCACTTGTGCAGCCTGGTTTGCTGCATGGGATTGGAGGGGCATATTGAACACATTCACACTTGGTTCACACGTCGTGACCATAGGACAACTACCATGCAAGGCTATCTCCGGACACCTACATTGCTTCCACCTACACGTTGCTTCCTACCACCATGGAAGGTCCTTCGAAAGAGACAGTCCAGCGAAAGCCCAATTTCTATGCTAAGCTGAAGAATACATACAAAGAGATCAAAATCTTCAAACCGAGTGTCAGTCGAGCACCCTCACAGCCTTCCAGAACCGCAACGCCCGTTCTTTCGGCTCAAGAAGAGCTTCCGAAAATGGGACGTAACGCAGGCGTTGGTAAGCGTCTTCGTTTCCATTGTTGGCAAGGATTGACGAGCGGAAACCAATATCCAGCGGGGACCAACCCAGAGATTACAACTACGCCTATCGATAATCGTGGAGATTCACCGAAGGGAAGTGGCGTAGCTGCGATCCGTAAGTGTTTCCATCCCAAAAGCTTCCAACGATCCATGAACAGGCAAATGCAGCAGATGCACAGTTTAAACCAGACGAGGACAAGAAAACTGAAGTGCGATTATCCGTTCTGAATTTAATACATCGACTCACAGCCCATGGCACCCAGACGAATCCTACGATTGTGTGGCAAGCTTGGAACATTGACGGCGACGCTATTACTCAGCTCCATAAATGGGGAGGTGATCGCGAAAATTCCAAATGGTCAAAACTTGCGGGACTTATCGATCGGTCGTTGAAATCAAAGACTCTCGATACGCTCAAAGCCTTCATACCCGACAGCCCTTTTCCTGCGAAAACCCTTGTTGAAGCATTGCTCAATCTGGTTGAGCTCGGTATCGTACGCCATTTTGTCAGGCTCATTTCGTTCCGCTGACGCATTCACTCAGAGTATCCCGCTTACTCAAAAGAAAGTATCTGAATTTGCGAAGGAAGCGATTGAGTACATTAGCACGCTTATCGTGGTTGCTGATGAGGAGCCGTCGGTAAAAGAGGACCTCAAGACGATTTGGTGAGTTTCATTGCATTTTCCCTGATATTTACAATGCTTACGCATAGTTAGTGCGGCGGTGAACGAGATTTGCCTGTGGGCGAAGAAACATGTTGTAGGTTTATCTTTCTCTTTGCCACCCATTGATGTTAAACTCGGGCAGTCGAAGAAGTCGGTATCTGATGATTTGGGGGACTGGCAGTCAAAGTTCACGAGCGCGAAAGAAAGATTCCTGGTACGACCACATCTGCCCGTGTGTGACAGTTTTCTGAATTGGTTCCTTCCAGGCAACAACCGTCACAAAAATTCGGGTGAAACAAGAGATTGACGCTCGTTTGGTACGTTTGCTTCTGGTTGCTTGTTGCTGATCAAGGATGCCACTTATTGATCCCACCCAGGCCTCCATCAAAGAGACGCTCGCCAGCCATCTTGCTGCAAACTACAAGCATACAGATCAGAGCAAGAGTCTTTGCGCCAAAGGCACTCGTTTGGAACTCCTCGAATATATAGAGCAATGGCTACTACCGCAGCCTTCTAACGCTGAGCGTATCTTCTGGGTCACGGGTATTCCAGGCAGTGGGAAATCAACGCTTTCTGCTACGCTTGTTGAGAATCTTCGTGAGAACGGCACTCCCGTCTCTGCTCAATTCTTTATCTCTCGAAACATCCCCGAAACGATCGATCCAAACAAAATCATCCCCACTATTGCACAGCAGCTTGCTTCCTTTCCGACAGCCGCTCGCGTTCTTGAGAAGGCCCTGGAGAATGGGTATCCTGCGGCGCGGGACAAGCAGGTTACTTCTCTTTTGTTAGACCCCATCCGGGAACTCTCTAAGTCGCGCGATGTGGTCGTCGTTCTCATTGATGCCCTAGACGAGTTGAATGATGCGGCCAGGAGCGTCATCGAGATCCTTTCCCACATTACTCCTGTTGACTGTGACCTTCCAAACAACATCAGATTCGTCATCACCTCGCGTCCAGAGCACTGGGCGGACATCTCCAAGTCCAAAAGGCTCAAACACGCGGTGTTCAAGCAGTATTCCCTGGAGACAGAGTTATCTGTCACTGAAGTACACAATTTTGTTGTTGCTAGGATGACAGAAATTACACCGGATGAGCCGGATTGGCATGGTTGGCCGGATCCCTACCAATTGCGGAGGCTATCTGACAAAGCAAACGGTCTATTCCACTATGCTGCAACCGCTCTTCACTGGATTGAACGGCGGATTGTCGATGATGGAACGGCGTGTCGAGAGAGGGTGTTCAAGGAATTCAGCAAGGGCGGCCTCAACGAGCTTGAAGATCTGTACAGACTCGTCTTGACATCATGGGAGAACGTGGATACGCCTCCAAAAGACAACGACAGATGTGTTACTCGACTAGATGGCTTTCAGCACGTTATGGGAACCATCATCGTGCTTCGAGAGCCATTGCTCGTTCGTGAAATCATTGTGCTACTTTCTGATATACCCAAGGACAAGTTCGACGTCACCAACTTCCTTCGGCAGATGTGCAGTGTTTTGATTCCAGGCACCACTACGTCGTTTGATGACACTACACCACAGATGCACAAATCCTTTCGTGATTATATCACGAGTGAGCGTGCACCACCTGGATTCCAGATCCTGACGGGGGATGCGCACTTCAAGATTGCAAGGAGTTGCTTAGACATCATTGTGAAAGCGGGGAGCCAGGGTGGTAATGGCAACAAGTATGCTATCACCTACTGGCATCGACACTTGCGGGAAGCTGGAGCGAGATGCGATGATGAGAGTATGTGGATGCTGCTGGGTGAAATGGAGAATGAGGGGGTTGTCAGTGTATGGACGAGAAATTGGGACGGGTTGGACGTGTTCATGTCTGTGGCCAGCACTGGATGGAAGCTGTTGAAGGTGAGGCCGAAGCAGGGAGAGAGACACCAGACTAATGACGGGTATGGCAGCAAAAGACGGATGAGCTAAAATTGGTGCTGATGAGCAACATGTTGGTGAAAATAAAGGTATGCAGTTGGCGGCAGAGTGGCAAACCTTGTCCTGTTAGCCTAATGATGCATTTTTTCCTTTGCATCCTTGTCTTAAACACCTGCCTTGTCCACGTATAATCCTGTCTGTCATGTCTTTGTCTCTAGATGGTGTGTGCTTTCATCCTCCCCCATCTGTGTTTGATGTACTCAGACCACCCTTTGTCTCCTCATTTCTAGTTGGTGTGTGCTTTCATCCTCCCCCATCTGTGTTTGATGTACTCAGACCACCCTTTGTCTCCTCATTTCTAGGATGTGTGTGCTTTCATCCTCCCCCATCTGTGTTTGATGTACTCAGACCACCCTTTGTCTCCTCATTTCTAGTAGGTGCGTGCTTTCATCCTCCCCCATCTGTGTTTGATGTACTCAGACCACCCTTTGTCTCCTCATTTCTAGGATGGTGTGTGCTTTCATCCTCCCCCATCTGTGTTTGATGTACTCAGACCATGCTTTGTCTCCTCATTTCTAGGTGTGTGTGCTTTCATCCTCCCCCATCTGTGTTTGATGTACTCAGACCACACTTTGTCTCCTCATTTCTAGGAGGTGTGTGCTTTCATCCTCCCCCATCTGTGTTTGATGTACTCAGACCATGCTTTGTCTCCTCATTTCTAGTTGGTGCGTGCTTTCATCCTCCCCCATCTGTGTTTGATGTACTCAGACCACCCTTTGTCTCCTCATTTCTAGGATGTGTGTGCTTTCATCCTCCCCCATTTGTGTTTGATGTACTCAGACCACACTTTGTCTCCTCATTTGTAGTTGGTGTGTGCTTTCATCCTCCCCCATCTGTGTTTGATGTACTCAGACCACCCTTTGTCTCCTGATTTCTAGTGGGTGTGTGCTTTCATCCTCCCCCATTTGTGTTTGATGTACTCAGACCAAACCACCCTTTGTCTCCTCATTTCTAGGCAGTGTGTGCTTTCATCTTCCCCCATCTGTGTTTGATGTACTCAGACCACCCTTTGTCTCCTCATTTCTAGGATGTGTGTGCTTTCACCCTCCCCCATCTGTGTTTGATGTACTCAGACCATGCTTTGTCTCCTCATTTCTAGGATGTGTGTGCTTTCATCCTCCCCCATCTGTGTTTGATGTACTCAGACCACACTTTGTCTCCTCATTTCTAGGATGTGTGTGCTTTCATCCTCCCCCATCTGTGTTTGATGTACTCAGACCATGCTTTGTCTCCTCATTTCTAGTTGGTGCGTGCTTTCATCCTCCCCCATCTGTGTTTGATGTACTCAGACCACCCTTTGTCTCCTCATTTCTAGGATGTGTGTGCTTTCATCCTCCCCCATTTGTGTTTGATGTACTCAGACCACACTTTGTCTCCTCATTTGTAGTTGGTGTGTGCTTTCATCCTCCCCCATCTGTGTTTGATGTACTCAGACCACCCTTTGTCTCCTGATTTCTAGTGGGTGTGTGCTTTCATCCTCCCCCATTTGTGTTTGATGTACTCAGACCACCCTTTGTCTCCTCATTTCTAGGCGGTGTGTGCTTTCATCCTCCCCCATCTGTGTTTGATGTACTCAGACCACCCTTTGTCTCCTCATTTCTAGTCGGTGTGTGCTTTCATCCTCCCCCATCTGTGTTTGATGTACTCAGACCACCCTTTGTCTCCTCATTTCTAGGCGGTGTGTGCTTTCATCCTCCCCCATCTGTGTTTGATGTACTCAGACCACGCTTTGTCTCCTCATTTCTAGGCAGTGTGTGCTTTCATCCTCCCCCATCTGTGTTTGATGTACTCAGACCACCCTTTGTCTCCTCATTTCTAGGATGTGTGTGCTTTCATCCTCCCCCATCTGTGTTTGATGTACTCAGACCACCCTTTGTCTCCTCATTTCTAGGATGTGTGTGCTTTCATCCTCCCCCATCTGTGTTTGATGTACTCAGACCACGCTTTGTCTCCTCATTTCTAGAAGGTGTGTGCTTTCATCCTCCCCCATCTGTGTTTGATGTACTCAGACCACGCTTTGTCTCCTCATTTCTAGTCGGTGTGTGCTTTCATCCTCCCCCATCTGTGTTTGATGTACTCAGACCACCCTTTGTCTCCTCATTTCTAGCAGGTGTGTGCTTTCATCCTCCCCCATCTGTGTTTGATGTACTCAGACCACCCTTTGTCTCCTCATTTCTAGGCGGTGTGTGCTTTCATCCTCCCCCATCTGTGTTTGATGTACTCAGACCACCCTTTGTCTCCTCATTTCTAGGCAGTGTGTGCTTTCATCCTCCCCCATATGTGTTTGATGTACTCAGACCACCCTTTGTCTCCTCATTTCTAGGCGGTGTGTGCTTTCATCCTCCCCCATCTGTGTTTGATGTACTCAGACCACCCTTTGTCTCCTCATTTCTAGGCAGTGTGTGCTTTCATCCTCCCCCATCTGTGTTTGATGTACTCAGACCACCCTTTGTCTCTTCATTTCTAGGATGTGTGTGCTTTCATCCTCCCCCATCTGTGTTTGATGTACTCAGACCACCCTTTGTCTCCTCATTTCTAGGATGTGTGTGCTTTCATCCTCCCCCATCTGTGTTTGATGTACCATTCAATCTCACCTTTGTCTCCTGATTGTCTAGATTGTGTGTTTTCTTTCTTTCATTGTGTTTGATACTAATGTTCCCCCTTTCTGGATGAAGCCATTTCTGGGATCTGTGGATCACAGTCCTCCTTGAGACCTGGAAGCATTACCAATCAGAGGTCTTGCATGCTAACATTGTGGAAATCCATGCTGAATCCAATGATAAATGAAGGTTTTTGGCTTCCTTCACTGATGTGAATATTTGCTAACATTTTGTTGTCATGTTTAACCTCCAAGATATAGTGCAGTAGAGACCCAATGGTAGTGTGATAGTTTGAGGAGTAGAATCAGGGATCTTATTCCACACATTATTTTTTTTTTTTCTGGAAAAATATATCCATTTAATTTTAACAAATAATGAGGAGTATGTGTTCTGAGCTGGTCTCCAAGTGTATATGAAAATTCCCATTCCTTGAGCCCAATACAATCTTCTGTCTGTGATTGGTGGATCTGATACTTCTTGGGCAAAAAGGTGATAAAAAGAGTGTATTAAAGTATCTACTAATGTATACTAAGAAAAAGAAAGTAGATTGTATGTCATGGTTGTTGTTATGGTGGTCCCTGTTGTGTTTATCAGGGTGGTCCTCTATAGCAGTCATCTTCACATCATGGTGGTATGTGCTGTGTGGTCATATTGCACTGGTTCATCTGGTCGTGGTCACCATTGTCTATTGTGCATTATGGTTGTTTGTCATTGTTGTGCATTGTGGTCACAGTTGGTGGTGGATTGTTGTCTATGGTGGACATTGTTGTCTGTGGGCATATCTGTTGTTATCCATTGTCGTGGTCAACTGACCTTGCTCTCCCCCACTATGACACATGTGATGTGTTGGTGGTCACCAACTTTCCGTATATGTTAGTCTCACATGACTTAGGGCAATGGCACATTGCCCTAAGTCAGCCACGTTCTCAAGCCCCCAACCTAACCTAACCTCCTAATCTAACCCTAACCTCCTAACCTAACTCAGAATGCGCTACTGCATGGGGAAAAAATATCTCTATCCTAACCATTAACACTAACCTCCTAACCTAACTCAGAATGTGCTACTGCATGGGGAGAAAAATATCTCTAACCTAACCATTAACTCTAACCTCCAAACCTAATGTATAAGTAAATAAAAGACAATTGAAAGTGCCACAGCAAATGATTGTTAGAGGCAGGGATTGAACCCACATCACAGGACTCAGAAACAGCATTGACTTCACAGTTAACCACTACACCATTCCAGCATTTATTTGTATGGAATGGCATAGAATCTTTCCACTTAAATTTTCGAAAGATTTATCATACCTTCCTTTAATGTCATTGTGGGGGAGAGCTATGAGAGTTGTTGTGGTCATCCCTTGTCCCTCCTGGTGACAACATCTGTCATTGTCAGTTGTCAGAGCAAGGAGTGGGGAGGCAATGGCTGTATACTTACTGGTATCAGCTTCTGCAATGCAAAGTTCACATTGACACCATCCCTTGCACCCATTGCCCCCGTTTACTGTCATGTGCTTCCACCTCGCTCTTGATGCAGTCGAGTCCAATGCATGCTGCATGTCATCCTCGATCTTGTCATTCTGGGACATCGCCATGTCATGATTGTCCTGGGCGTTGTTGCATTGTCATCATTGTCCTGTTTCCATGTTATTGTGGCATTGTTGTTGTCTGCTGACATCCTCACATGTTGTTGTCATTCTGTGTCATGCCAATGATGATGAACAACAAATTGGACATTGCACTGTCATCATTGTCCTGTTTCCATGTTGTTGTCACATCTTTGTTGTCCAGTGATATTGTCCCAGGTCGTAGTCACATTGTCCTTGCCTTGGGTCATGGTGTTGTCATCCTGGGTCATCACCATGTTGGAATTGTCCTGGGCATCATTGCACCATTGTTGTTGTTGTTGTTGCATTGTTGTTGTTTGGTGATGTTGTCCCATGTTGCCATCATTTTGTGTTGCTTCAATGATGATGCAGTTGTTGTTCATCATTTTGTTGCAATGTGGCAACTGGGTGACGTGCTGTCGGCAATGTGGCAACTGGGGTTGTGTGTGATTGTGGGAATGGGGGGGGGGGGGGGGAGGTTATGTTGCCTCACCTAGGTTGGTGCTGTTGCACTAGTATCTACCACTTTTATGATAAAATATAGTCAAGTGCCTGCACAATTTTTTGGATACTGCCTAGTGTTTTTATGAAATGAGGAACATAGGGCAAGCCTTATGAAATGTGTTTTATTTTTTCCCTGGACCATTTCATATGTATTTCAATTCTTCCCTAAGCCTTTTCATAGTCATTTCTTTCCCATTTCTTTCCTACCTGGCCAGTAATTTCATTGCCTACCTAGCAATATTTCATTGCATACCTACCCTATTTCTTTCCCATTTCTTTCCTACCCAGTCAGTAATTTCATTGCCTCCCTAGCAATATTTCTTTCCTACCCAGCCAGTTACAAGTCCTCTGAGTTTACAAAGAGACTTGTTTATTACCCCAGGAATCAATGTTTCATTCAGTGCTCTAACACAAAATTTAGCCTTTTTCCCATGAAAATTGATGGTGCATCTTTTCATCACACTGGATCCTGAGAACAGCACCTCAAACATCAAATAATGTGGTATGGATGAGAGTGTAGTACCATGGTATGGTATAAGGGTGCAATACCATCATATGGCATGAATAGTTGTGGTATGGTATGAATGGTTGTGGTATGATATCATCATACCACATGTGATATGAATAAGGCTGAACATAGTGTCATGGTTTTTGGAGGTCATGGCCAACAGGAGCTTCCTTAATCTGTAGCCCTGGCTCTCCAATTGACAAGACTTTGGATTGGATAGAATCACTCAGCTTTATTGGATTGGACCAAATATTTTGATAATGAAGACTTTGGCCAAACACTCAGGACAACAATACTTGATTCCATCATATGTAGTTTTTAAATGAACACTGGGTAAATATATACACATACTTCTTTGACAGCAACAGCATTGCACTTTTGAATCCAAATTGCATGCTTTTGCAATGGATGGTAGACTGATAGCCAATACACAAAATGTCTTCTTTTCTTTGCTTCTCAAATACCACATCATCACAATGGATGCAGTATTGATTCATTTGTGATGAATATTGTTCTAATTGAAAGGACTGGGAAAGATATGTATCAATAAATGGCCTTTGATGCATGGAAAAAGCTGGGATAAAGCTCATTTGAACGATTTTCAAAGGATGGATTTGACTATATAGCCTCCATTTGTATCTTAATATCTCAGGAAAACCTGAAGAACCTTTCCAGAAAAAAATGGCAACCAATGGACCAATATTGCAGCCTGCAGAAAGAATTTATATATTTTGAAAAAGGACCCCAGACACCCTGTGTCAGCTTTGGTATAATGGCATGGTATGGTATGAGGTCAAATGGTATGGTATGAGGTGACATGGTATGGTATGGTGACATGGTATCGGTATGAGTGGGATATGGTATGGGATTTCTATTCCATAGTACCATGGTATTGGTATGGAGCTCATATACCACCCCGAAATGGGTACCCTCAAGGTACCCTAAATCAAGGAATTGATGTGCCTCATAGGTACCCAAAA